TGCACCTGTTAATTTTCGTCGCCTAAATGACTCTGAGCGACGAACGAAAGGATAACAATATTGTTATAGCTTCTCCACAGATAGCTCCTAAGCACGTACCATCCGGTTAGCTATACTTCCAAGATCAATTTTTATTACATATATATTAAAGTAGAAACCAAAATGCAGTAAGCAGATAACCAACACCTAGAATTTAATCCTATGGAAGCGGAAGAGTAAAATCCAAGACAAAAAAATATGTTAGAAAATAGTTTGTTAAATCATTTATTCAATAAAAAATTGAAAGAAGAAAAAGTACCTTATTTTAAATGACTGTACTTTCTCCGAATGACTTTAGAATGAGAAAAGAAAGAATACGCCTGATAAAAGGTTTCTTTACAAATTATTCAGGTGTACTTTCTACCTAGATAAAATATTTTCATTACATAGAGTAGAAACCAAAATGCAACAAAGTAAAAAATGAGAATAGCTAGAATCCTTTGGAAGAGGTGGGAGAATATTGTCCAAAGAAAAAACCATGTTAATTACTAAAATGATAAAAAAAAATTGAAGCTTTTGACTTTTCAGAGAACAAAAATGAATGTGAAGAAGGCATGGATAGAAAGTACTAGTAGTAGTAGCATATATATATATATATATATATATGTATATATATACAAACACATACACGTGCGTGCACGTATGTGTATATATTCACACGTTTATGACAACTAAAAAAAAAAAAACACCAAAGATATTGTTATGTGGAAATTCAGTGCTTGCAAAATATAAATCAACTGTACAAATTAATTGAAAAAAGAAAATGTACCTTCCTTGAATGACTAGTACTTTCCCCAAATCACCTTAGGATGAAGCAGAAGTCACCTTAGAATGAAGCAGAAGGGGAGGCACCTGGGCCCTTTTTTTTTTTTTCAGTGCCCAGTGAAACGCTTCTCCACAGATTGCTCACAAGTTTCTAGCTACGTGGAAGATTTTCATTACATGTAAAGTAGATTTCAAATTAATGGAGATGTTAACTAGCAAAAGCATAAAAAGAAATAAAGGTTATAAATATATAGGAATTAAATTAAAATTTATACCTGCTGGCGTGAAACTACTGCTTCTGAGAGACAGAAAAAGTAGTAGATTTTACCAAAATAATGCAATAATCTGCAGAAATTAAATACAATACGAGATGAGAAGTTAGCAGATAATATCAGAAAGGCTAAAAAAGAAAAAAGTTAAGAAGAAAAATGATAATCCAAACATTTGTAAAGTCACATGATCATGAACGTTTTGAGTTACCTTGGAAAATATGGGGGCAATGAAGAGAGGAATGCAAGGAAAGCAGAAATGAGACTGGGACAACAGTTGTTAATTCTGCAACGAAACCAATTGGTTGGTTATGTTCGGAGTTTTAACAGGATATTGTAATTATTAGCAGCTTCAAAAGGAATGAATGTAATAACATAAATGAATTTTATAC